GAAGGGGATGAGTCTGTACATCTGGTTTTAGGGATGCAGCACATCGGAAGGGGACACTCCTCGATGGAACTATCTGTGTGTGACTCAGGGTCCTGCTTTCACGTTATCTCCTCTGCTACTTAAAAAAGACACAGTCTTAACAATCATCACCTCAATATATTATCTTAAAAGTTGTTATGAAGATACCACTCTTGGAGAAAGTGTTCATGGGACTCTGCTTACTTCTGTCCATGGGGGGATTGGACACAGCTAAGGTGAGGCTTCATTGTGGGGAGCAGGGCGCCAGGCAGTGGGACCTGTGAAGACCTTGGAGGCAGAGACAGGTCCTTTCCTTGCCTATAAACTTTGACCAATCGATTCAGTTTCTTGTCCTAGAACATCATATCTGTCAAGAATCTCACCTTATCCATTTGACAAAATCACATGTTTATACTTTTGAAAAAGTGTCAGGGTCATAAAAACTAAGGAAGATGAAGAAATGGCCAGAGACTTGCAGGAGACTCAAGAGAAGTAGCCATTCTGGTCATGATCCTGGAACAAAATAAGAGTATGATGGGGAAACTGGTGAAATTTGAATAAGGTGTTTAGTTCAGCTGAGAGTTGACTAATGTTAACTTCCTGGGTTTTGATCATTGCATTATGGTTTTGTAAGATGTTAGCTTGAGGGGAAACCAGGTGAGGGATATGGGAACACTCTCTGTACCTTTTACCCACAGACTAGGAATATTTTAGTCATGAAATAAATCCCTCTCCCTTTAATTTCTTTCCAAGTGTTAGAAATGACTTCCCATTAATGAAGCCCTTTGAGCTCCTCAGTCAACTGTGACCTTAATACGTTCCACACAGATTTGCTTCACCACTTGAGGATTGCTGCTCATCAGCATACATAAATATGGGTTTAATTTACAGAGTAGTAATAAATGTCTGGTGGAAACAACTCCCTCTCTTTTAAAACCATTTATATGTTTATTTTGGAAAAAGCATAAAGAATTTCTGACTTTTGCAGACAGATTTAAAAGTTATATAAAGATGATGTGAATGGTGGCAATGTCATGCAAAACCCAGGACTCAACCCTTGGACCGAGAGGCTGGCATCCGGGTTCAAGCTTGGCTCTCCCCTGAACTTGCTCTTTGACCTCTGGTAAAGATTTACTTCCCTGGATTTGAAACAAAGGGGGAATTGCTCTAGGCCAATATTTTCTATAGCTTGGTTGATATAGCACTGGTGGTATATGAGATATTTTTAGTACACAAACAACTATTAAAATGATAAAAAGTATATATTTAACTGGCACATCAAACCCATTTTTAAGTATTATGAACCCGTGCCCCCTGTAGTGAAATGCTGAGTCTTAACCACTGCACCATCAGGGAAGTCATACATGGTTTGTAATTTTTGATTGCAGGTTCATCTCTCATAGGAATTGTTTCCTGTGGAAATTCTATGCCCATTGGATTATGAATTGTCTCTATAGTTGACCTTTGCAAGTTTCACTTGGCCTGTATTAGTTTTTGTGGTGTTTGTTGTTGTTCAGTTGCTAAGTCTTATCTGACTCTTTTCTACCCCATGGACTGCGCAACGCCAGACTTCCCCGTCCTTCACTATCTCCCGGAGTTTGTTCAAACTCATGTCCATTGAGTCGGTGATGCCATTCAATCATCTCGCCCTCTGTTGCTCCCTTCTCCTCCTGCCCTCAATCTTTCCCAGCATCAGGGTCTTTTCCAATGAGTTGACTCTTTGTATCATGTGGCTTGTATCATAGCTTTGATCATATGGATCTCTGTAGGCAAAGTGATATCTCTACTTTTTAATGTGCTTTCTAGCTTTGTCATAGCTTTTCATAGTTTCTGTGTTAATGTGTCCTTTATGAGGAACATAAAATTCATCTATGTTACCAAATTTCCCTCTGCAGGGCTGTGAACATGTGGCAAGCTTCCCTTGCCATTTATGCAGAGATTCCATTCTTCTATCTTCTTGCAGATATCTGAGACCTCTGCTCTTGGGATAATGGGGAGAGAGAGCTGAGGAGTTACAGCTGTCAAATCACTGGTATCATGGAAAGTCCATTGAAATCCAGAGATCACTCATTCATTTATTTATTTATCACAGACATTTATTTAGTGTATGTGCTATGCCAGTCTCTTTGTTGGGTGCTGAGGAAAAGGTCTCCTAGAGCTTCTCTAATAGGTTCAAGATGAAAATTTTAGCTCTACTATTAACCCTGGGCAAATAACTTAGCTTCTCTGAGCTTTGATCAAGTACAAGGTGAAGAAATCATTTAGAGTGTGCGCATGCACTTTTTAACAGGAGAAAAGGCAGAGTATATGAGTATGAGTAGATTGGTTGATTTCATGGAAAGTGAAAGTGAAAGTCGCTCAGTTGTGTCTGACTCCTTGGACCCTGTGGACTATACAGTCCATGGAATTCTTCAGGCCAGAATACTGGAGTGGGTAGTCTTTTCATTTTCCAGGAGATCTTCCCAACCCAGGGAACAAACCCAGGTCTCCCACATTGCAGGCAGATTCTTTACTAACTGAACCACCAGGGGAGCCTAAGAATACTGGAGTAAGTAGCCTATCCCTTCTTCAGCGGATCTTCCCGACCCAGGAGTCACACCAGGGTTTCCTGCATGGCAGGTGGATTCTTCACCAGCTGAGCTACCAGAAAGCCCCTGATTTCATGGAGGGCCATTTAAAAGTTCTCTTCTGATTGCTTCAAGTTTGTTTTAGTGAAATAAAATAAATGGAAGGTCATCAGCTGAAATCAAGCAGAGAAGAGGGGGAGTTGGCAGTTTGAGATAAGGAGAGGAATAGAATGATGTAGGGAAAATGGGTGGCCCAAAGATACCACCTGAGGTTTGGGTCATGAGTTCAAAGAGAGCCCATGTGCATGCCTTTCCCCAGCCATGATCAGCTGAGTGGGTACCAGTGTGGATGAAGCAGTTGTATTTAGTGAGATGTTATCACATCAATCCTCATAACAGACTCAATATTTCATACCCATTTCACAGATGAGTAAACTGAGACCTAAAGAGGTGAAGTGACTTTCCCAAGATCACATTTAGGAAGGGATAGAGCTGGGGTTGTAACCCAAAATTGACTCCAAATTCCACACTCTGAATCTTTACAGTGTGCTCATATAGCTGCTATATGTTCCTTTTAAAGGAACTCTAAGTGACTTGGAAAAGAGGAACTAAAGAGTCTCTTGATGAAAGTGAAAGAGGAAAGTGAAAAAACTGGCTTAAAACTCAATATTTAAAAAACTAAGACCATGGTATCTGGTCCCATCACTTCATGGCAAATAAATGGGGAAACAATGGAAACAGTGAGAGGCTTTATTTTCTTGGGCTCCAAAATAACTGCAGATGGTGACTGCAGCCATGAAATGAAAAGATGCTTGCTCCTGGGAAGAAAAACTATGACAAACCTAGACAGAGTATTAAAAAGCAGAGACATTACTTTACCAACAAGGTCCATCTAGTCAAAGCTATGGTTTTTCCAGGAGTCATGTATGGATGTGAGAGCTGGACCATAAAAGAAGCTGAGCACTGAAGAATTGATGCTTTTGAACTGTGGTGTTGGAGAAGACTCTTGAGAGTCCCTTGGAGTGCAAGGAGATCAAACCAGCCAATCCTAAAGGAAATAAATCTTAAATATTCATTGGAAGGACTGATGCTGAGGCTGAAGCTCCAATACTTTGGCCACCTGATGTAAAGAACTGACTCATTAGAGAAGACCCTAATGCTGGGAAAGAGTGAATGCGGGAGGAGAAGAGGATGACATAGGATGAGATGATTGGATAGCATCACTGACTTGATGGACAAGAGTTTGAGCAAGCTCTGGGAGATGGTGAAGGACAGGGAAACCCGGCGAGCTGCAGTCCATGGGGTCACAAAGAGTAGGACAGGACTGAGTGGTTGAATGACAGCAACAAGTGACTTTGATTATTTAATCATTTGGGAACTGCTGTGCAAAATCCAAAGCGGACTGATTCTAGATCTGTTTCTGCTGCGAATTCAACAGTAACTTTGGCCACATCACTTCTCTGTGTTTCTTAGTTCTCCTCTCTATGGGGATTGGTCTGGTGTGTGTTAGTAGCTCAGTCATGTCCAACTCTTTGCAACCCTAAGGACTATAGCCCACCAGGCTCCTCTGTCCATGGAATTCTCCAGGCAAGAATACAGGAGTGGGTAAGCACTTCTTTCTCCAGGGGATCTTCCAACCCAGGGATTGAACCTGGGTCTCCTGCATTGCAGGCAGGATCTTTACCATCTGAGCCACCAGGGAAGCCCCAGGGATTGATCTAGGGGCCACCTCTATTCCCTTCTGCTCTTTAATGATGAGGTTTTTTTCCTCTCTCTCTTTGAAATATGGTGGGGTAAAACAAACTCAGGATCCTGCAGAAGTTAAAACCAGTGTGGACCCAAGATCCATCTTGTTTTATGTGAATACCGTACTCTATCATTTCCATGGTAAACTCCAAAATCTGGAGCCAATTGAAAATGAAGAGCATTTGGAGTGGAAATCAAGCCACGCTGGACAAGACAGCTGGGTCAGAGAGCTGCTGCCCATCTCACCACGGAGTGTGCAGGCCCCTTCAGACGGGGGCACTTGCTTTGTCACCGAGCTGCCCCCGTAATTACGATAGGCTCTTTTGTTATTAAACAGACCCAGGCCAAACAAAAGGGATACTGTTTCTTTTATGAGTAATGTGCTAACTCACCCTTGGAAAAAAAAAGGTTCAAGTCCAGTGTGGGGCCTGAGACAGCATAAGATTTATTACAAAGGCTTCAGAAATTATTCCTCCTTCACAGCACTTAAATTGTCTAATTATTCACAGCTGCTTCCAATTTGTCTCAGGTTGTTAATTAAGGGGTGTGGGTCTTCCCCTCCTTCCAGGGGCGGCCACCTGAAGCCTCATGAGGCGCCCGCACAGAGGAGGACCCTCCACACAGTGGCCAGCCTGCGTTTGTCCATGAAGCTCTCGCTGAGATGGAAAGAAAACTCAGGAGACGCCGGTTTCCTTCCTGCAGGTGAAGGATGCTGACCTGAGGGGTTATCTATAGAGGGAGAGGCCCGATGTCTGGAGCTCCTCTGAGAATCAGGGGATTTATGCTCACCTTGGGTACTCCTGGGAGTCGGGGAACTAGTGGGTCTCTCCAGTTCTGTCTATGCCCAACACACAGAAGCAGTCAAGTTGGACCTTCTACCCGCTTTCGCACATCCCCACACCTCATCTCTGCGTCCCTCCCCTCTGCAGCCTTCTTTCCCTTCTGGACCTTGATCTTATATCTCCTTGTCTCAGGTTTCCTGTTCTGCTTTGATTTTGAGCTAGGTGATTACAGCCAACATTTGTTCAACAAACATCGAATGGGCCCCTGCTGTGCTTGGGACCATGAGCAGAGACTGGGGTTTTAGAAAGGAAGAAGTTGTGTCTGATTCCCTTCTGGATTGTGAGCTGTAAAGTACAGTATCTTACTTGCCTTTAACATCTCCCCATTGCCCAGCAGGGAGGCTGGTATACAGTAGATGCTCATATGCTGACTGAATCAATGGGTCACACGATATGCCAGCTGGAAGGGACTTTGGGGATAAGTAAGCCCATCACTTTGATTTTTAAATACCTTAAAAACTTTTATCCCTGAACAAAGACAAGGTAGTAATTTTAGAAAAACTAAAAATGAAGAAGCTAGAAATCACCTGCAATCCTTCCTCTGAAACACGACAGTTGTTAACATATTTCATATGTGTCTTTAAGTCTTCTTTCAAAGAATGTAAAGCATATTTAAAAGTAAAACTGGGATTTTGCTATTATATTTAACTGCTTGGAATTTATCATTACAACTCCATTTATATTACCAATACCTTAAGAACACTTTCCATGTCATTAACTTCAGTCAAATCATTCTTAATAAGCATGCTGTACTCTATTTAATTTTACTATAATTTCTTATACTAGTTGTTCATTGACATTTTAGGAATCAGTGAACTAAAATGGATGGGAATGGGTGAATTTAATTCAGATGACTATTATATCTATTACTGTGGGCAAGAATCCCTTAGAAGAAATGGAGTAACCCTCATAGTCAACAAAAGAGTTCAAAATGCAGTACTTGGGTGCAATCTCAAAAAAGACAGAATGATCTCAATCCATTTCCAAGGCAAACTATTCAACATCACAGTAATCCAAGTCAATGCCCCAGCTGCTAATGCTGAAGAAGCTGAAGGTGAACAGTTTATGAATGCCTACAAGACCTTCTAGAACTAATACCAAGTATATATTATATATATATCCTTTTCATCTAGAACTAATACCAAGTATATATTATATATATATCCTTTTCATCAAAGGGATTGGAAAGCAAAAGTAAGAATTCAAGAGATACCTGGAGTAACAGGAAAGTTTGACTTTGGAGTACAGAATGAAGCAGGGCAAAGGCTAACAGAGTTTTGCCAAGAGAATGCACTGCTCATAGCAGACACCTTTTTCCAACAACACAGAAGACGACTCTACATGTGGACATCACCAGATGGTCAATACTGAAATCAGATTGACTGTATTCTTCATAGCCGAAAATAGAAAAGCTCTGCACAGTCAACAAAAACACAACCGGGAGCTGACTGTAGTTCAGAGAGTGCATGTATGCTAAGTTGCTTCAATCATGTCCAACTCTTCGCGACTCTACGAACTGTAGCCCGCCAGGCTCTTGTGTCCATGGGATTCTCCAGGCAAGAGTACTGGAGTGGGTTACCATGCCCTCCTTCAGGAGATCTTCCCCACCCAGGGATCAAATCCATGTCTCTTACATCTCCCGCATTGGCAGGTGGGTTCTTTACCACTAGTGCCACCGATCATGAGTTCCTTACTGCAAAATTCAGGCTTAAATTGAAGAAAGTGTGGAAAACCACTAGACCATTCAGCTATGACCTAAATCAAATCCTTTATGATTATACAGTGGAGGTGATTAATAGTTTCAAAGGATTAGATATGGTAGACAAAGTGCCTGAAGAACTATAGATGGAGGTTTGTAATATTGTGCAGAAGGCAGTGACCAAAACCATCTCGAAGGAAAAGAAATACAAGAAGGCAAAGTGGCTATCTGAGGAGGCCTTACAAATAGCTGAGAAAAGAAGTGAAGTGAAAGGCAAAGGAGAAAAGGAAAGATATACACATCTGAATGTGGAGTTCCAAAGAACAGCAAGGAGAGATAAGAAAGCTTTAACTGAATAATGCAAAAAATAGAAGGAAGCAATAGAATGTGAAAGAGATCTCTTTCACAGATTTCTTCAAGAAAATTGGAGATACCAAGGGAACTTTTCATGCAAAAATGGGCACAATAAATGATAGAAATAGCAAGGAACTAACAGAAACAGAAGAGATTAAGAAGAGGTGGCAAGAGTACACAGAAGAGCTATACAAAAAGGTCTTAATAACCTGGATAACTACGATGGTGTGGTCACTCACCTAGAGCCAGACATCTTGGAGTGTGAAGTCAAGTGGGCCTGAAGAAGCATCACTATGAACAAAGCTAGTGGAGGTGACAGAATTCCAGTAGAACTATTTCAAATCCTGAAAGATGATGCTGTTAAAGTGCTATACTCAATATACCAACAAATTTGGAAAACTCAGCAGTGGCCACAGGACTGGAAAAGGTCAGTTTTCATTCTAATCTCAAAGAAAGGCAATGCCAAAGAATGTTCAAACTACCACACAATTGCACTCATCTCACACACTAGCGAAGTAATGCTCAAAATTCTCCAAGCAAGGCTTCAACAGTACATGAATTGTGAACTTCCAGATGTTCAAGCTGAATTTAGAAAAGGTAGAGGAACCAGAGATCAAATTACCAACATCCATTGGATCATAGAAAAAGCAAGAGAGTTCCAGAAAAACTTCTGCTTCATTGACTATGCTAAAGCTTCTGACTGTGTGGATCACAACAAACTGTGGAAAATACTTCAAGAGATGGGAACACCAGATCACCTTACCTATCTCCTGAGAAATCTGAATGCAGGTCAAGGAACCACAGTTAGAACCAGACTGGTTCACATGGAAGTGGACTGGTTCAAAACCGAGAAAGGAGTACATCAAATCTATGTGTTGTCACCCTGCTTATTAAACTTCTATGCAGAATACATCATGTGAAATGCTGGGCTGGATGAATCACAAGGTGGAATAAAAATTGCTGGGAAAAATATCAGTAACCTCTGACATGCAGATGATATCACTTTAATGGCAGAAAGCAAAGAGGAACTAAAGAGCCTCTTGATGAGAGTGAAAGAGGAGAGAGAAAAAGCTGGCTTAAAATTCAACATTCAAATAACTAAGATCATGGCATGCAGTCCCATCACTTCATGGCAAATAGATGGGGAAACAATGGAAACAGTGACAGACTTTATTTTCTTGAGCTCCAAAATCACTGCAGATGGTGACTGCAGCCATGACATTAAAAGATGCTTGTTTCTTGAAAGAAAAGCTATGACCAACCTAGACAGCATATTAAAAAGCAGAGACATTACTTTGCCAACAAAGGTCCATCTAGTCAAAGCTATGGTTTTTCCAGTAGTCATGTATAGATATGAGATTTGGACCATGAAGAAGGCTGACCACCAAAGAATTGATGCTTTCTAACTGAGATGTTGGAGAAGACTCTTGAGAGCTCCTTGGACTACAAGGAGATCAAACCAGTCAATCCTAAAGGAAATCAGTACTGAATGAATATTCACTGGAAGGATTGATACTTTGACCACCTGATGTGAAGAGCTGACTCATTGGAAAAGACCCTGATGCTGGGAAAGACTGAGGGTAGGAAGAGAAGGGAGTGACAGAGAATGAGCTGGTTGGATGGCATCACCGACTCAATGGACATGAGTTTGAACAAACTCCAGGAGATAGTGAAGGACAGGGGAGCCTGGTGAGCTACCGTTCATGGGGTTGCAAAGAGTCAGGCATGACTTAGCGACTGAACAACAACAGCAACAAAATGAATGAAAAGATAGGAAACATCAGTGGAGAAATGTAAAACTCCTGCAAAACAAGAACCAAGAGCAAACAAACAAAAAAACTTAAAAAATTCAATATCTGAAATTGCATTAATGGTAGTTGAAGCCATGGGGATGAATGATATTGCCCTAGAGACAGAGTGAGCAGAAATTGATGAGGGCAGGACTCACATGCTCCCCAACCCTCATAAATGTTCTATAAATTTTCTTAGCTTCCACTTTCTTATCTTTATAGAAATGATAATATTTGCATATCCTTTTTCACTTGACAACCAGAAATTCTTTGAGAGAGGTTTATTTTTAATTTTTTTTGCATTTGATGATCTTTTTTAATTCTTAGACTTATGTGATAAAAATGAGGATGCTTACAATTTTCAGTGTCATTTTATGGCTCAGTAGAATTTTGCCAAAGACCGATCTAAAATTTTATCTCTAATACACTTTTTTTTCTATTAATGCTCAGAAGCTTCCCTCTTTCTAATGAAATGTAATAAGCTTTAAGCATGTGTACCATTATTTTACCTATAATAATATTTCAATCTTTTCATTTAAATTAATAGCATAGCAATCCTCTTGTATTTCTTTATTTGGTTGGATTTATCACTCACTTTTATTCCTCCCACTACCAGAGCAAATATACTGCTTATACAAATATTCTTATACTTATCAAATTAATATTTCCAAATGTTTATCCACTTTGGTTTCTTTTTGCCTCTGTATCTTATATTTTTATTTGTATATTATAGATAAAATCATCCTTCATCTAAAGTAGAATGAATAATTAAGGGTGCCTTACTTTCAAATCATTTTCTTAATGTGGGACAATTCCTTTTCAATCCAGCTTATCTTTAATATCTGCGTATATTTCATTGTTTAAAGCTTTCTTTTCTATGAGAGAGGTTAATTTTTCCTATCTTACAGAAAAAATATTGAGGTTTCCATAGGGGAAAAATAGTGGCTGTCCTTTACTGAGAATTCCCGACATGCCAATTGCTAAGCTTAATTTACCTCCTTGCTCATCTTGACAATAACCTTATAAATTAGCTATGATTATGGCTTCATCTTACAGCTGGAGAAACTGGGGCCCAAAGAGCTCAAGCGGCTTGTAGAAGATCACTGTGCCTGGAAAGGCTGCAACCAAGAATGGAAGTCCAATACACACTGGGCAGTGATGAAATGCTCTAGAGTTGGAATCTGGCCTCACCACTGATGAGTCATGTCATGGTGTATAAGAGCATGGGCTCTGGGTTAGCCTGGGTTCAAATCTAGTTACATGACCTTGGGCCTCAATGGTCTCAGTTATAAAACTGGAATAGGAGAACAACCCACCTCCTAGATTTGTTGTCAGGATTAAATAAGAGAAAAGTGTGTCAAATAGTCATGGCCGTGCCTGGAAGACTTAAGGGCTCATTCAGTGTTAGCTCTTCTTGATGAGGCAAAACAGAAGGGAAGCAAATGCTGTCACTAACCCCGTCCTTATCCTGACACTCTTACCACTTCAGTGCACACCTGCCTAACTCTCAGCTCTCAGCACCCACATCTCTGTGCTCCAGGCTTTTCTACTTGTGTCTGGAATCAGTTCTGAAGGTAAGCCAGACAAGCTGGAAATTTTGGAGAATTAGCACCTCTTGGAAGCAACCCTCAACCAATGACTAATGGAGGTTGATTGTTTTTCTTTCATTCTGTTGCTGGCAAAAGCCTACCCAGTTATCCCACTTGGTGACAGCAAGATCCCTCTATGTACCTGGTGGTAGTCCTCTGAAATCAAGGTCCAAGGTTCGGGAGGGGATGGGGTCCCCTGAAAGAGCAGCGTGGGTAGGGAAAAGGGCATGGATTAGACGAAATCTTTCCAGAATCCTCTCCAGCCAGCAGTTACTGGCCTGGGACGTCCCGAGAGCAGGGTCTGTGTTAACTCATCTCTTTACCGTCTATATCATCCAACTCTGGTGCATAGTAGGGGTGCAGAAGAGCTTGGCTGAACGAATGATCCCCACCCCCAGCTTCCTACTATGTGCCAGGCTCAGTGCTAGGGATGACCAATGCGTAACCCCTTTCCCAAAGAGTTCACAATTCAGAGCTTTCATTTTTTTTTTAACTTCAGGGGTCCCCTTTCAACCTGGATTCTTCAGCTCTAAGATTCTATAATTCTATCATTCTAAAACTCTGTTATTCTAAGATTCCATGATTCCATGACTCCCCTCATGAGCCCTGGACATCTGCCTTTATTTTGGATCCTCGATTGGACTAGTTATCTAAATAAGAATCTTCTCAGTTCATTTATTTGTGAATGTGTATCAAGCGTCGATGAAGAGGTCACCTCTAAGAAATTTGTAGATTCAGTTCAAGGTCAATTGAAGCTAACTGTATTAAAGCAAGATCTTATCTCTCCCCATGAAATATTAGCCGCTTTCTTTGTAAAGAAAAAAAAAAAAAAGAATTAGGCCAAAATAGTTCACATAAAGAAAAAAAAAAGACTTCATTGCTGCGTATATTTCCGTATATGCTCATTTGGTCGTTTCTTCTCTTAATTACGAACAGGAGGCAAGATCTAGGGTCACGCAGAGGGTATGCTGTGTATGGACTTGGCCGCAGGCAAAGTTCACAGAGGGTAGCCCCTGAGAAGTGGAAGGAAGCAGAGAGACCACTGAGTCAGTGGCTCTCCTCACTCAAGGGCCCACTGGGGGGTTGAGGGCAGAGAAAACATCCCAAGCTGTTTCCTGCCCCTGATGCTCTTCCCCTTGCATCCTGAGTCTGTCCAGGCAGGTAGTTGATGGACAGACATGGCATAAGGACATGGGGACACCACAGGCTGTCTGTCTCCATTCTTGGTGTTCAGTCACTCCGTTGTGTCCGGCTCTTTGTGACCCCATGGACTGCAGCATGTCAGCCTTCCCTGTCCTTCACTGTCTCCGGGGAGTTTGCTCAAATTCCTGTCCATTGAGACCACTGAGTTGGAGACGCTATCTAACTATCTCATCCTCTGCCAGCATCCTCTCCTTTTGCCTTCAATCTTTCGCAGCATCAGGGTCTTTTCCAATGAGTCGGCTCTGTCTCCTGGGCATTGTCTAATGCTGAGAGGATAGGTCGGTAGCCTCAGCTTGGGGGTGACAGTGTGACATGGTAGGGAGAATTTGGGCTAGAATTCTGTTGGGTTCAGTACAAACTCCCCTCTCAAGTACAAACCTTGGGCCAGTCACTTGCATTCCCTGAGTCTTGGTTTCTTCAACTCTAAATTAAGAATGTTGAAATTAGTGATCTCAGAATTAAATTGCTATGAATCTCTATTTACACTCATGGTGGTTATTTTTAAACACTACGTAATATATCTATAATACTGAATGCTTTATAGACAAGGCTGAAGTCCATTTTCACCCCTTCCTGGGTCCGATCTTAGTCCCTATTTCACTTTTCAGAAGAAATCACAATATGATATGATAATCATATTCTCTGAACAATACTGTAAAATATCATATTCTCTGCATGCATGCTTATATGATTTTTTAAAAATTAATTTATTTTATTTTGAAGGTAGCTACTTTACCATATTGTGATGGTTTTTGCCATACATTGACATGAATCAGCCATGGGTGCACGTGTCTTCCCATTCTGAACCCCCCTCCTACCTCCCTCCCCACTCCATCCTTCTGGGTTGTCCCAGAGCACCTGCTTTGAATGCCCTGCTTCATGCATCAAACTTGCACTGGTCATTTACTTTACATATGGTATGGTAATATGCATGAGAATATGGTAATATACATGAATATACATGTTTCAATACTATTCTCTCAAATCATCCCACCCTTGCCTTCTCCCACAGTGTCCAAAAGTCTGTTCTATACATCTGTGTCTCTTTTGCTGCCTTGCATATAGGGTCATAATTACTGTCTTTCTAAATTCCATATATATGCGTTAATAAACAGTATTGATGCTTCTCGTTTTGACTTACTCCACTCTGTATAATAGGTTCCAGTTTCATCCACCTCATTAGAACTTATTCAAGGGCATTCTTTTTTATAGCTGAATAATATTCCATTGTGTATATGTACCACATCTTCCTTATCCATTCATCTGCCAATGGACATCTAGGTTGCTTCCATGTCCTAGCTATTATAAACAATGCTGCAATGAACATTGGGTTACATGTGTCTCTTTCAATTCTGGTTTCCTCAGTGTGTATGCCCAGCAGTGGGATTGCTGGGTCGTATGGTAGCTGTATTCCCAGCTTTTAAGGAATCTCCATGCTGTTCTCCATAGTGGCTGTACCAGTTTGCATTTCCACCAACAGTGCTTCTATGGTTTTGATTGTTTCTTTGACGGATTTTACTATTCTATACTTATATTTAACTCAAAAATATGTCTCAGAGATGTTCCCATGCCATTATTTTTTATTACTTGCATAATATATTATGCAATATATACACTTTGAGTATATATGCTTGAGTAATATATTAATTATTCTCATTGTCTTAAATTATAGCTACATAGTCAACTGTATGAGTTTATCTCACTTATTTAGCCATTCTCCTGTTGATGGTTGTGCTATTTTCTATTTCCCTAGATAATACTGCAGTGGACTGTCTTGTTCTTGTCTCTTATGGCAAATGAGCAAGTGAGAAGCAGTGATGCTGGCTTTTTACTTGATCACTGTCGTGGGCAGTTTGAGTGGCCCAGGAATGCTCTGTTTTTGACTTCTGTGTTTTCCTTTCTTCCTCCTTCCTTCTCTCTCCATTACTCCACCTCCAGGATCTCTCTGCATCTTGAAATGTGTATTAGGTAGAACACTTGCAAGCAAGTGTCAGTAGCCTGACTCTTCTTGGTTTCTGCAGAAAGGCAGCTGTAACTGGGCCACCAAACTAGAGGGCTACCAGGACCCTGTCTCTTTATTTTCCCCTTACCTTCTCTGCCCAGCTTTAAAAATAGCAAACTGTAGTCCTAATATCCCCTTCTTTTAGCTCTCAGACTCCAGAAGCAAGGCTACTTCTCCAGCTCAGACAGGGAATCCCAGAGAAGGACTCTGATTGGTTCTTCCTGAGTCACATGAACTCCCTTGAACCAATCCTTGGTCCAAAAGAAGGCAGTATTGTGATTGGCCAGATTTAGGTCACATGCTTACCTCCATAGTGCCTGTTAGCAAAGGGTGGGAAATTCGCTAGGCTGCTCAAAGCATTAGCTACTCCTTCATTTCTAGATGTCTGCTCAGAATCTTGATAATCCTAGAAAACTTAAAAAGGCAGAACTCTTCATTTCTTCTGCCAAAACCTTACTATAAAAGCAAAAGCCTAGAATTCTGTGGTGCTCCAGGGTTGAAGTATCTGCCTGCCAATGCAGGTTTGATCCCTGGCCTAAAAAATTCCGCATGCTTCAGGGCAACTAAATCTGAGTAACAACTAGCCCACATGCCTAGAGCCCATGATCCACAACAAAAGAAGCCACTACAATGAGAAGCTTGTGCATCCCAACTAGACAGTAACTCCCGCTTGCCACAACTAAAGAAAGCTCACAACCAAGACCCAGCCCAAAATAAATAAATTTAAAAATAAATGAAAGCAAAAGCGTAAGAGAGGAGAGGCAATACTAACATTTTCTGGATAATTATGCTGGCCTGACATTTGAGACAGACATTATTATGCCCATTTTATAGCTCAGCAGTAAAGAATCCACCTGCCAATGCAGGAGAGACATAAAAGACCTCGATCCCTGGGTCAGGAAGTTCCCCTTGAGGGGAAAATGGCAACCCCTTCTAGTATTCTTGCCTGTAAAATCCCATCAACAGGGGAACCTGGCAGGCGACAGTCCAAAGCATCAGCAAAGAATTGGACATGACTGAGCACCTGAGCAGGCTTACACAGAGGTGAGAAACTGAGATTCAGAGAAGTTTTTATTGGCTAATGGTAGAACAGAGATTCGAATCAGTGTCTGTTAGAACATGGACTTAGAGCTCAACTCAGGCCTCCTGTGTCCTTGGCTCCAGAGGTACCAGAGTGACAATCATGCAAAGCAGTTTTTCCCATCCCACCGTGAGTAGACCAAGGTGAACCTAGTAACTGTGGTTCTCATCTGCAAATCCTCCCGTCCCTCTATGTGGCTCTGCTCCTGCATCAAGATGTGGCATCTCCTTTCTTTCTCCAGGTGTTGAAATTGGCCCTGGATGGCTTTGACCAATAGAGTGTGGAGTGACAGCGTGTGAGTTCTGGGTGCAGCCTTGGAGGAACCCAGTTGCATCTGCTTTTGTGCTCTTTGGGAGCCAGTAGCCTGCTGTGAAGTAACTCAAGATGGAAGACTGAATGAAGTGGTAGGCGGGTGGGAAGAGAAAAGAGAGAGGAGCATTCAAGAGCCAGACTCCACAGTGATATCTAGGTGGCTACCTGCTGAAGCAGAGGACTGAGTGGTTCCTGCCTATGCCATGTGGAGCAGAAGAACCACCCAGCTGAACCCTGCTGGAACTCCTGCCTCACAGAATTATGAGAAATAACAAATCGAGATTTTTTTTTTGAGTGCTACATTTTATGGTGTTTTATTATACAACAACAGATCATTGAAACAGAAATGCTGATAATCTTTCAGGTTTTTGTTTTCCTCTTAAGTTTTTTTTTTAAGTTTATAAGGAGTAATTGGAAATAATTGACAAATGCAATTGTACATATTTAAACAGTACACTGTGATGATTTGACACATATTGGTGTTGCAGGATGATTAACCAAGACCAAGATAACTTGGTCTATCAAGAGAGAGAGTTTTATATATAATATATATATGTGTGTGTGTATATATATATAGTTTATATGTATATATATAAAACTATCACCTCACATAGTTAACTTTTTGTGCGTGTGTGATGAGAATGCTGATAAATTCTCAGCAACTTTGAGTATTCACTACCATATTATCAGCTGTAGTCACCGTGATATACATTAAAGCCTCAGAACTTATTCTTCTTATAACTTTGTACTCCTGACTTACATCACTCTATTTCTGCCCCTTCTAAATTCTTACTGTATTTTGTGCTTGATGAACTGGGCTTGCTGGAGCTTGACTCCCTTGCACTCTTTAAAAATGTACTTTCTTTTTCTTTCTAAAAGTGTTGCTGTATCCCAGA